TGACTTCTACATCTACACATACAGGTATATGGCTAGCCTAACACAATCAGAGGGAGAACACATTGCAGTCTTTGAAGAAAACTAAACCAGAATGAGGGTACGTTTATTTGAACCAGGTTGCATGCAGCGTGTTCCTTTTTGGTTTATCTCCCCTTTTCAGACCATTTCTGTTCATAGTACGGTAAATAAACCAGTTTGTCTGAGATCTGTCACAGTTGTTTTTTGCAAAGGCAATAATATAACTAAGTGATATAAGGCAATTGTGTAATGTCCACCAATACTGTAAGGCCTTTCTGATTCCACCTTTAAATGTAAATGTATTTTCCTCTTCATAGGTGATCATACTTTGGGGTGGGTGTGAGGGTGTGGTATGCTCCATTTCCAACAATGGTGCAGCCATTCTGTAAGATGGATGTACTTATCTAATAAAGTCGGGCGGCAGATCATGATCCATTGACCGACTTCCTAATTGCCTGTGTTCTAGCGATAGAACACCAGCTGCAGAGGCTGCCTGGCTTCCTGACCAATCAGGAAGCCGGGCGGTGAGTCATGAGGTGCCATCCAGCTTCCTGATTTGGCCAGGAAGCCAGGCTGCCTAGAAACAAGTGAAGCCAGCTTCCTAGTCAATCAGGAAGCGGGGAGGCAGGTCATGACCCGCCTCTTGGCTTCCTCATTGGCTAGGAAGCCGGCTTCACTTGTTTCTAGGCATCTTGGCTTCCCGATCAATTGGGAAGCCGAGAAGCGAGTCATAACGTGCCACCCGGCTTCATGATTGGTTAAGAAGCCTGGCTGCCTACAAACAAGTTAAGCTGGCTTCCTAGCCAATCAGGAGGCCAGGAGGTAGGTCATAAACCTCCATCCGGCTTCCCGATTGGAAAGGAAGCTGGCTTCATGCTCCCACGGCACTACTGGTCAGAGGAAGATCTCCCTCTGACCGGAAGTTCCGGTATCAGGGGTAAGTATAGGAGCATTTGGCCGAGTATGAGTACTCACCCAAATACTCGATATCTGCACCGATACCAATACTAGTATCGGTGCATCCCTACTTCATACCAAAGCAGTCTCCCGCACTAATTCTACTTCAAGACAAGATGTCCTCCCGGTTGAATGATGCCCAGCGTCTCTCATCCCAAGGACAGCAGATATTCTCTTAATGCAGGTCATCATGGCCCGTCCACCTGAGGACGGCACCATGCACTCACAGTGTATTAATACAGAGAGCAGAACTGATGTCATCATGTCATTGACTCTCTTTGCATCATTCAGGACTGCCCACTGCTGGGAGAAGGCCGAATAGGAAGAGGACCCTGTGTTTCACATGACCGGCCAGAACATACTGTTGGTATAGACCTCAAGAGGTCATGAAAAGTCTATGGAGCCCAAAGTTGAGCTTTGGGCTAAGGTTCTTCCTGGTGACACCTACATTATTAAAGACCAAATTAGTGACACAGAGGTTGGCAGGAGAAACCCCTGCTGGCAGCAGGAACACAACCCTCCAAGACACTCGTAAGGGTTAGATGCAGTGGCGGTGGCCATGTATATCATGAAGAGATCGAAAATTTTCCTTACTGCACTCCGGAAAGGTGAGCATTCCTCTTCTTCTTTCACAGGGTTATTCAGCTTTAAGTCTGTCAGCAAGTGAACCCTAAGGCTCCCAAATACAATAGAGAGAACATAAACATGCAGACATAATCTGACCACCTTCATGGTCCTGTGTGTGTCTGGAGGGTTCCTAAGCACAAAGTCACCGCTCAGCCAAGCAGTCATGTTTAGTCTATACAGAGGAGAGGGGTGCATAGACACCATTAGTTGCCAGCTTATCAGGGGAAACAAAAGTAGTCGGACAAAGATTTCTTACCTATCCGATTGCTAATTCCCCCTATCGCTCATAGACAAGAAAACAAATATCTCATAAACAAGTTTGCTCATAGAACCATAATGTTCATTAAGGTCATCATTGAACCATAATGTTCATTATGGTCAACACCAGCTTGTTCTTCATAGTAGCCGGAACCAGTGCAATTTAATTCAATGCACTAATAAATTGAGATATTGTCTGTTAGTCAAGGTACTTGTAGGAAAGACTAAACAACAAAAAAACTGCTATCTTGAAGATTCAGATGCACAGGTCCTACTGCGGATATATAATCTAATGTGATGTCTACACATATGGAATAACCCTTGAAACAAGTTGCTTACCACCTATTCATAAAGCATTTGACTCTGTTTAGAAGTGCAGAAATTGCTTTGTTTTCTCAACTGTGATCATAAATAACAATAAAATATAAACATTATATACAAAATCTATGTACCTATAGAATTATCTGTCTACTAGCTGTCATTAACAAAGGTTTTAGCAGCTTCACACTACTCTAGAGAGGAGACAAGATAATATAATTGAGATGTGAGCTAACGGCTTGTAGAAGCTTCCTCGGTTCAGCTAATTTTGGAAATGGTGTTACTTCTTTATGGGTCATTTTAGTACAGTAAAAGCACATTCATAAGTTGATTGGCGCTTGCTGTGTTGCACAAGTGCTCCGACAACTGGACAATCCCAATTTTCAGTTCTTTGATGGACCCTAACTTATTAGCCCTAACGTAGACCTTATGGACCTTAGGGCAGACTGGGTGGCTGGCTTTTACTGTCATTAAAAGTTTGTCGGGTATGCTCGGTGCATCAACGTAGGTTTATCTTAATATATATATCATAAATTAACCAAGGTCTTCACCTTTACATAACCATACATTAATAGTGCTGGAGTAGTGCATGTTAGTGATAGATCTGCATTTACTTACATCTATGCTATATGGAGCTAATCTGTTAGATCTGGAACAGACAAGAAAAAGGCAGCTACCCTTAGCAACAAATGAGATTCAATGATTCCATTGCCCGGTGCATGTGAGAAGTAAGGAACTTATTCAGCAAGATTAAATATCACTTTTCTGGAGCTCCACCAGTGCAATGAGCAAAGCCCCCTTGTGCAAAATACATTGACCTGTAGCAACCAATCAGAAGTCACTTTACTGGAGTCAGTCCATTAAAAGCATAATTGTAATTGGTTGCACTAGGCTCTGTGCACTATTTTACTGAATAAGTCTAAAAAGTCAGTTTTGAGACTGTTCAGTGCCATGCAGAGATGTACTACAAATATAGTGGGCCTGGCCATTAGGCTGCATGCCTCAAGTCAGAAAATAAAAAGCCTACAACTGCTTGCTTACTGTAGGGAACAATACTAATTATTTCAGAGCAGTGGTTTTTATAAATTAGCCTCCAACAGACTTTTTTCTAAGGCAGTATGTAAAATGCAGTAATCCACCCATAGCAACCAGATAAGTTAATATTTAACTGATACGCTAATAGAAATTATTTGATTATTTGAAATAATATCCACGTACATTATTAAAAATATGTGTAACAAAAAAACAGCCACTTCCCTCATTCCATGACCATTTTTCCCCCTGACCAGCTTGGTCATGCCTGTGACCTGCTGGCTAGGCAGTCCAAATGGTCTGGGTGAGGGTGGAGCGCTCATGCAACTTATTCTACCTGGGCTACCTAACTGCACATATGCAATGCTGTCTAATATGTTTGCAGCTGTCCAATAAGGGCAGGCAGCGGGAGCCCTGGAAAGGGACACGTGGTGATATGTACTGCTCTTCTATTGCAGCTCTATTTATTTTGTTTTGAAGTGTATGTACAAAGTTGAGTACTTTTGAAACTCAATGGTTGTGCGGGTTGCTGAAAATTGCATATTGCCTTATGAAAACATCCATTTGTAGTTCAGGTCTTATATTTTTCCCGTAGTCTGGTCAGGGCTTGCGAACATTGGCAGTTGTTCATGTCACAGCTGCTTTTCTACCCATGCCAGTCAATGGGAATGCAAAAGCAGTTTGAGGTCACTTAAGCTGGCCATACGTGCTTCGAACTTTCCTTATTCAGTCTGGTGCGCTGAACAAGAGAAATGCATTGGTTCACCACAACCGCATCTCCAGCCTGAATACCTGACCAGCACCTGCATCTGACTGGATGGATGAGAATTTTCAAACAGGCTCCTTCGACAAAAGTTAATTGCAAATGGTCTTTTGTGAAGCGTGGAGATGCTGACAGGGCCACCCACGGCTCAAATTTCGACTTCAGCAGGCACTGACTGAAGTTCGAGCAGTGTATGACCAGCTTAGGAGTGAGGTCAGAAGCAGATTAGAAGGAGGTCAAAGGGATCTCAAACTGATCTCAACTGCAAACACCTATCTACATAAGGTCCTTGCAAGGGATTCATATTTATAAATATATTTGTGAATTTCACTCTTTGCCTTTTCTACCAAATGTATATCTCCTAAATATACCACGTCAGGAAAACCTTCAGGTGGCACAGTCGAGGTTCTCATATGGGGCTGGAGACTCCCAATGCCCATTTTCTGGACAGACACATCACTGTAGAAGATTGCACAGAGATGTGTTTTGACCCAAATCCGCTTCTAACAGTCACGCAATGGCAGCTTCCAGCATTGATTGGGAGACTCATGCGTGACAAATAACAGGTCTCCTTTAACATTTTAGGTGTAGAGTCCCTTCTGTTTCAAGCTGAACCCTGTTCCACCACTTTTGGGCAACCTGGTGTCCTAAAGTTTATACCCATTAGTCACATTTACCAGGACTTGATTCACAGCTCATCCAAATGACTTTGTCAGTTCAAGTGAGTGTCAGAAACATAAAACTCACATGGTAATACCCACAAGGTAAACACCTGTCCCAGACTCCACAGCACCATGGTGTAACCTCAGCATTTACATTGACACACTTCATGACACCATGGTGTATGGATAAGGGTGACTGTGGGCAACTAAGGAAGCTATTTGGGATGAGTGGAGTGGTGAAATATCTTCAAGTCCAGTTTAATATGACTAACTACTACTATCAATACCATGACCTTTAAAGACACTTTAAAGCCACAGTAAGCTGTATACTCTCCAGGGACTCATAATCTACTTACGATAATTTGGGGTGTCCAATTGGGCCTCAATTGAGTAATACTGGTGTAAAAAAAAAAAACATCTGTCTTTGAAAATCACATTCCAAACAGACACATATAGAGACATAATTTATACAGGTTCAGACATCAAAAGGAAATATGCAAATATGTAGTAGGTACAGAGAAAAAACAACATCACTTTTCAACACATGGCTATTTCACTTCATAGAACACCCATACCAAACATGGTGGCCACGGATCCATAATAAATTAATAGTCAGCGTGTTTGTCCAGGGCACTTGCAGCCTCCATTTTGATTCAGGCAGCACATAGGAGGTGGGGGAGAACATTTTTACATTGTTCCAAGCGGGGGCCCAAAACCAATAAGGTAACCGGCGTTGAATTTCCTTGTAGCGGTTAAAAATCAGCAGCTACAGACAGAAAGCTGAGCACAGTTTGACGGATATGGTGGGGGGCGGGGGGGGAGCAAGGGGTTCTGGGAAAAGTCACGCCTGCTGTCTGAACTCTGGCGCCACCTGTGTCATGTGGTATGAATTGCTCTTTTAAGGCAGTGAAGAGACATTCTGTGGTGCTTGATGTTGGCTGCACTCACGCAGTTTCCGTATTAGAGGCAGAGGTACTTTTCTTCCTTAATCGAGGCTTATGGACTCTGGGAGGAGGCTGAAAAGAAGATGGATAATGTAAATGTATAAGAATCACAATTTACATAAAAGTACCTAAATACATTTTCATAACTTGAAGGGACAGTCCTCTTTCACTAAAAGTCAGGAGACGACCACGGACCCGGAGTCAGGCAGAGCAGTACAAATGGAAGCAGGATTAGAAACATCAATATCCTAATTCTGAATCCTAATTCTGCCTCAATGCTGCCTCCTCCTTATGCTTTCCTACTCCATTCCATGAACACTCATGCCAAATGTACGTGTTTATTTCATACCTAGCTGACAGATATACCTCCAGGTGGTCTCATCATATCTGCACACCAAACTGTAGGCCTATGGCTAGCTTAAGGCCTTGAATGCAGAGAACTATTTTCTTCAGTCAAGGAGTCATATACAGCAGTAGGGACTTGCTCTAGCAGGTCAAAGTGGCCACCTTCAGATATGGAGAAAGCAGATATAGCTCCTGCTGTGCAGACCATGGAAATTGCTTTCAATCCCCAAAGAAGTTGAGTAAATAAAACCCTAAGCAGACTAAAGCAACTAGCACCCAACTTCCTTTTCACCCCACAGTAAGCCAAGAATTCTTCCCTGGGAAGTTAAATGCTAGCCTGCCATGCCATCTTGGTGGTCATCCTCAACCACTCAGAGAGGAGTAGTGCTACAGAAGGTCTCATCAGGTTGCTACATTTCCAGTGAAATTGTAAATCTCCTTTAGCAGTCTTTATTATCATGCAATGGCCGGCCCAGCAGTAGAAGCATTTTCTGCCGTGCTCTGCCCAAAGCAATTGCTCGTATTCAGTACTCAACTGGCCACTTAAATAAATATCATTGAATGCAAATCTTTCTTCACAAAAATAAATAAATATTACCATAAACCAATGACTACCATAAGGGGCCACATGCTGTAGTGTAAACGAATACTAACTAATGCCTAAGCATGGAGCCCCCACCCTTCCAACCTCCATTAAGCCATGAAGGCACCTTAGCGACCTAAGCAGATGCCAATTCATTAAAAAACTAAAAGTAAGCACAAGCACCCTATGGTCCCTGTCATTACCTGATAATGACGGTGTATATTTTATATATATTGTATAACTGGTGTCTATGGATCTGTTTCTATATACACATACCTATCTTCCCATGCCAGGTGTTCGGGGCCCTTTCTGTATCTTTAACTGGATACGCCTCATAAGCACAGGGTCCTAAAAGTCATGAAGTATAACAATTCCCTACAGTAAAATGGGCCTCTTTTTAAATTTTACATCAATAAGCTATAGTCAGCATTACCAGTTGTTATGAGCAAAAAAGTACCAGCTGTTATATATAATGTTGCTCTTGTGATATGGCATTGCAGTTTTATATAATGTCCTCGTGCTATTTATAATGGTCTGGCCCTCTAGCAACTTCAGCGCAAAATTATAGCTAATTTGCCGACAAACGTCAGGTGGTCATTATAATCTGGCCAATCAGTGTATAATTTTGCTCTTTTGCTATGGTAATGCAGTTTATAATTCTGCTACACACTCTTCTGATTTTAAATTTTAAGAAGCTCAATGTAACCACTAAAAGGATAAACCTCTGTGTTGGTCTCATTATAGTGGATGCAATTTCATCCAAGCTAACCGGAGGGTGAAGGCTCATATGATGTGCAGTCTAACCATTATTTTCTTTGGTACATTGAACGAGGCTTCATTTGAGATTGCAGAATGTCTATTAGGCATCTGGATCGCTCAGATGTAAGTGCTGCAGGTCTCATAGACCCCAGTGCTGCAATCGAGTCTCTGCCTCCCTCTCCTCCAAGCCATTCACAAAACAAACAGTTCCACGCTTCATTTTGTGAATGGTTTGGAGGAGAGGAAGGCAAAGACACAACTGCAGCGCTGGGGTCTTTGAAACCTGCACCCCTCATCCAAGCAGCTTGTAAGTACAGTGGGAGCTGTACTTCTCCGGTATTGTAAAAAAGAAAATTTGCCTAGTATAGAAGGAAGTCTGAATGACCAGGGGTTGCTTTTGAGGCAAAGGAATGTACAACTGCTTTAACACTGGTAAGCTTATTTTGTTCAGGGTTGGCCCTAAATTCATAGTTTTTTCATTGCAACAGAAAGTGACAGAGAACATCCCACCCCATCACTCCAAAGAGGAGCCAACATCTGCAACTAAATTTGCATATTACGCCTTAAATCCCTCTTTAGTGCCCCGTCTGCGATTACTTCTGGGTCTGGAAAGATGACTGGAGAGAACAAGTGCTTGGCGCCAGGGGCGAGGTTTCAGTACAAAATCGCGGTCTCACTGAGTTTTGAAGCCTAACTTAACCAAAACATTTAATTTTGTTTTGGCTAATGGGGAGAAGGTAGGGTTGCCACCCGTCCGGTTTTCACCCGGACAGTCCAGGTTTGGCGTCTTGTGTACGGGTGTCCAGCCAGCGGGCAACCAGACACAAGACACTTAGTGCCGACACCGGAACTTTAAATTTTCTCGTAGATGCGGCTGCCGAGGTCCTTGGCAAGTGCGATCTCGGGCATCTTCCTCTGAGCTGCGGGCAGCCTGTGCCTGATTACAGGTGCCCGCAGCTCAGAGGAAGGGTCGGGTGGCAAATCGGCAGCAGCAGCGCAGCGTCAACCTGCAATTGCCTGCAGAGACTCACAGCATGGCCATCCCTGGAGGGCGGAGCCCAGGATTCCAACACAGCAGCAACGGACAGCTGGCCCTGCCCACTAAGGGGAAGCTGCCGGGATGAAGTCGCATGGATGATAGCCACGCCCCCTGGAGTGACAAGCCAACACAGGAGATCCCAGGGTGCCGCCAACTCTGCAGCGTTGTGGTATGTATACTGAAGTAATTCACAACTTAAATGTCCTCATCTGAGGATCTACTCCAATTAGACCCGTAGCAGTTATTTATGTATAAATAAGTGTGTCTGCAGTGATTTAAAGAGACCCTGTCACCTCATGCATATCTAAACACTTTTTTTTTTTAAATAAAGTATGTAAGGGTTAAAAATATTTTTGTTACTTTCATCAAGCTTTTGCATGCTTTGTATGTCCTGTAAATTAAGCTTTGTCAGGTGCCACCAACTTCTGCTTAGGAATGAACTTTTAAAATTGAACCAAACCAACCAAAATGTAATCATTTATAACATACGACAGTATGTGCTCATCTGTCACCTCTAAGACGTAGAAAGGGTGCGATACTCACATTAACCAGCAGTCTCATGGTTAATGGAGTCTTATTGTGGCTTTTTTAAGCTTGTTCTGCTCCTTGATTCTTCAGTTCTTTTCACGGCAGCAGCTTTGGGTGGGGACTGAGCGACCTTCTGCTCGGCCTCTCCTGTGTCTGAAGACATCAACCAGGGGAAGGAGAGGGAGAGAGAGAGGTGGAGAGGGAGCAGAATTTCATACTTATCTCATCTCTTGGTCTTTACAACAAAGACACACATATGGAAATGAATGAACTGTATGGGCCTGGACAAGAATGTGGTTTTCAGCTTCAGACCTTCAATAGCAATTCAAACATCTCATCTGCTCGAGTGTGTTTGTTAGAACACATAATGAAGAATGTTCAATGACCACAGGATAGATTACAAATACTGTGTGGATAATGTATCAGTCTTTGTTTCTCTAACTCTTCTCTGATATAAGCATATGTATCTGTTTCAGAACGCCACTATCATAGGTTCAAATATACGTTGGTGGAGCCTTGAAGGCAAGACCGAATTTACTATGTCTGCTGCCCCAAGGCCAGGTTCCTCAGTGCGCACCCTACCCGCCAACCCACCCCTTCCCCCCATGAAGAATGGCAGACCTGCAGGCTGCTTACAAGTGATATCGGTGACATTGCCGGGATCACTTGTACAAAACAAGTGGCTAAATGTAGAAAACAACCACCCGTCCAACCCCCGGAACTGCATGTCGGGCATCGGGAGATAGGAATTCCACATCCCTGCTGCCCCTCTACTCCCTGCTGCACCAAGGCCAGGCCTTGGATGGCCTTGTGGGAAATCCGGCCCTGCTCGAAGGAAACGCTATGTGTAGCTACACTACAGTGCTAGAGGTCTCTATAAAGCCAAGAGCTGATCAACTAGTCTGACCACCGACAGTTAACACTGAAAGCAATTATGGACGCCACTTTCATATTTTGTATGTGGCGTTGCTTGTTGCCCTCATATAAAATCTTGAGCTCACAGTTACATAGTCCGCAAAGTTCAAAAAAGCTAAAAATTCTCCAAGCAACTCATGGACGACTCATTGTAACTGATCTTAGTACGTTGTATTTGTTTTGACAATAATTTCATTCTACATGGTTAACAAGTGCCAATATGAGAGTGTCAGGAGTACTTGATGACATTTACAAATTGGAAATTATCTGAAAGGTCCTATTGCAATTGTGGCTGGTTGGTCTGTGAGACTCATGTGACAATCTGAGATTACATGCAAACACATGTTCGATAACACATAAATGGCTGCGGGCCCTGTCATTGCTTTGTGTGCACCCCACCCATAGCTGTTCGCATGAGTCTCACGGATCAACTTGTGAGGACTCACCAAATGGGCCCCAATCTCGAGCGTGAATGGGGCCTTAATGAACAATTGTCCTTTCATCCATGGAAACGAAGCAACCCTCACACTACACGTGTGCCAAGATTGCATGCTGAGTCAAGCTGAAGTGTACCCAAAGCCAATTTTAGTTCTGGAAATAGTAGGCCATGGTTACACTTCTGACCTTTTTTTTTTGTTCTTTTATGCAGTCATGGTGGTGTCTTCATTGGAAGAATTTACCGCTACCTCCAGAGGCAGGGAAAAACTTAACATTTTGGATTTTCCATCACTTTCTATTCTGTTACAGTGGTCATCAAGACAAAATGTAACCAATGCAACAATGATGGGCAGACCCCTCAGGTGTCACTGTTAGTGATGGGACATCTGCCCATCTATGGCAGGGGTCCCAAAACTCTTGAGCTCATCGACTCCTTCAGGAAGTTTCAGATTGTTCATCAACCAC